CTCCTCATCTTTCTTGAAGTGGGGAGCCCAGAACTGGACAGAGTACTCCAGACGGGGATGCCAGCACCTCTGCTGCCCCCATCGTCATCCCGCTGAGGCAGGAGGGCCGCACAGCAGAGCTGAGCAGGGACCCAGCCCAGAGGAGGGCACACAAAGCAGGGCCTGGGCAGCTGCTAGGCCTTTGGAGGGAACAAGGAACAGCACTGAGGATGAGCAGGGTTTCAGACAAGCCATGGGCCACGTCCCCCTGGGCACGGATGCCAGCACCTCTGCTGCCCCCATCGTCATCCCGCTGAGGCAGGAGGGCCGCACAGCAGAGCTGAGCAGGGACCCAGCCCAGAGGAGGGCACACAAAGCAGGGCCTGGGCAGCTGCTAGGCCTTTGGAGGGAACAAGGAACAGCACTGAGGATGAGCAGGGTTTCAGACAAGCCATGGGCCACGTCCCCCTGGGCACGGCTGCCCCTCACCTTGCAGTGGCACTGCCCGTTGGTTTTATTGCAGTCGGGGTCAAAGCCCTTGTTCACGTCGCAGTTACAGGGCCCACAGGTGGGGTTCCCCCACCAGCCTTTTGGGCACTGCTGGTCCATCCTAGGGACAGAAACACATCCGCTGTTACAAGAACCAAATCCCCCAGCCTTACCCACCCCGCTAGCCCAGCTGCTCAGCAGCTCCAAGGAGCCAAGTGGCTCCAACAGGTCCCCAGTCACTTAGCCAGGATGGGAGGGCAGCACAGAGCCATGCGCAGAGGCCATGGCCCTGCCCCGTGCCCCACATCTCACCTGTGCTCACAGTACTGCCCGAAAAAGTCAGCTCCGCACTCGCACACGTAGCCCAGGGGCGAGCCTGGCTTGCGGCGACACACTGACTTGTTCTTGCAGGGATTGAGGTGACACACATCCACGCAGTCCCCTCCATAGTACCCTGAGATGTGGACAGAGAGCACCATGTCAAGTAAGCACCTTTCCCCTGAGAGGGGCCAAAGCACCCAGGATTGGATTCAGGGGGCTCAGGAGGGATTCTGCCCTCCACAAAAATTCTGGCATGTCTGGTGGGGATTTCTGGGCTGAGGACTTGCCCAAGGGATGGGCAGGAGAGCAGTCACAGGCCAGGAAGGAGCCACAGGAGGAGAGGAGAAGACAGACAGCGTGGAGAGCAAGGCAGTGGCAGGGCGCTGCAGGCCCTACCTGGCTGGCAGACGCAGGAGTAGCTCTGCCACTCGTCCTTGCAGACACTGTTGGCCGGGCAGGGGCTGGAGTCGCAGGGAAAAAAACAGCCTCCACTCGCAGGGCATGGCTGGGCTTGGGCAGCACGGTCCCAGTGATGCTGTCACCCAGTCGCACACCCTGCAACGCAGGTGACAAATTCACAGTGAAGCCAGGACACACTTGAGGCTCCAGTCCTCCTGCCCTCCACAAGCCCCTGGGGACAGCCACCCCCTCACCCCTGCTGTCTGCCCCACGGCACCTCGGAGCCCTGAGTGCTCCAAGGGAGAGCATCATCAGCAGGATGGATGCTGGCAGCAGCTGCCAGGCCCATGTTTCCATCCCTCCATGTAGCAGACCCACTGGAAAGAGAAGGCTCAGAGGAACGGACTCACCTGTATGCAGCCCCTCAGCCCGTTCTGCACCTCGCCAGAGCCCAGGACTCCCCCCACATGCAGATGTTTCACCTTCAGGCCATGCAGTTCATTTCCCACAACCACTGTGTCCTGCAGAAGAAAAGGGAGTAACATGGACCAACTGGCACCATCCCTGCCCCAGCCCTCTCTGAGGGCAGCCTGGCCTGTGTATGCCAAGCATCCTCCACGGTTCTTGTCCCAGTGTCAGGGTCTCAAGCAGCACCCACCTGGTAGAGCCCAAAGTCCAGGGTGAGGGTGATGACATAGCGCAAGTCTCGGCCACTGCGGACGTCCCGCAGCTCCAGCTGGAGGTCATGCCATCTCCCATCGCTGAGCCGCAGCTGGTCCAGGAGGAGGCTGGGGCTGCGCCCGGACCCCCTGCCCGCCACGAAGGAAGCCAGCTGCGGAGAGGGAGCCAGCAACGGCAGCAGTGAGCGAAGGCCTCGTCAGCTCTGCTCGCCTCCAGCCTACCCTCCCTCTGAGCATGGGAAGGGAAATCCAGCCCTGCTAAACACCTCTCCCCACAACCCCCTCTGCCTGGGCTGCAGTCAGTAGGGTCCTCCTGCTCTCCTGCGGCAGACAGCAGTGGAGGCTGGGGCACGGTGCTGAGGCTGAGGCCATGGCCCTACCTGGCAGAGCAGGGTGGTGTACTGGCCAGCGTGGGCCTGCAGAAGCACCCCATCGGGCTGGCGCGTCCGAAATGCCAGCCCCAGGTACCACGGCACTGAGATCTTCACGTCTGTCTTGAAGTCCCAGGTCAGGACACTGTTGCCCTGGAAATAGTGGGCATGATGCATGGCTGGAAAGGAAAGCAGAGGTGAGGAGAAGGGACTGGCACTACATAGGGAGCACTAGACACAGGGACAACAGAGCTAGCTCATCTCACACGGACCCCTGACCCTGCTTCCACAGCAAAACCAGCAGTCTTGCCCACACCCACCCAGCCCACGCCCAGCAGCTCCCGCTCACTCACGGTGACGGCAGTCTTTGCCCCCGAAGCCAACGGGACAGAGGCAGGAGTAGGTCCCCCAGCTGACAGAGCAGGTGCCGCCATTCTTGCAGGGGCTGGAGTCACAGAACGTGTGCTTGGCATGGCAGCCTGGAGGTATGAAAGTCACCCACATCAGCTCTGGCCTGCTCACCACCTCCCTCCAGCCTACGTGGCAGGACATTGCCCTCCAGCTTTTTCCTTGGCTGCCAGAGGGGCAAGCCCAGCCACTCAGCCTCTCAGCACAGGCCTTGCCTGCTCAGGGGTGAGGGCCAAGGCTGTTGCTGCTTCTTGTGCCAGAAGAAAGACATTGCGGAGCTGGACTGACTACCTAGCATCTCCTCGACAGGCCAGCTCTGCAGGCTCTGCACTTGGGATCAGGGGACATTCCCAGAACGTTAGCTGGGGTGGGGACTGGCTCATTTCAGGGGATTTGGAGGCACCGTTCTCCAACGGGGAGCTGCTCAGTGCCTGCTGTGCTGCCATGACACTGTTACAGCCCAGCAGCGCTGCTGCATGAGCAGGAGGGGCAGCTCCCAGGGCAGGGGCTGGCCAGAGCAGAGCCCTGATACCTGCAGCAGTTCCGTTGTTGGCGATGTAGGAGGCCAGGTCAATGCGTTTGCTGTCGATGTATAGGTCTCTCATGCATCCCACAAAGTCCCGGTGAGTGACGGGGAAGTTTTCTGGCAAATTGGGCACCCCTCCGAGGAGCAAGGGACCTGTGAGGTCCAGGGACCTACAAGGACAGAAGCCCAGGTCTTTAAGAGCCACGGTGACCTCAGTCCGAGCAGCTGGCTCCCCAGCGCAAGCAGCTGGGACGCAGACATCCCTGGGGACAGGCACACACAGCCAAGGCTCCTGGCACTACAGCTGCCCCAGATGCGAAGGGCGGACTCTGCAGAGGACCCAGGTGCCCTGGGGCTCCTCTCCCCACACAGTGCCTGAGAAACTCACTTCTTCGAGCTGGTCTGCACACCCTCTGCGGCGCAGGAGTAGTTCCCGATTTCACTGCCAAACTGCAGAGCCACTGAAGCATCACATTCATCCACTGTCAAGGTGGCCACCTTGTCCTTGGAGGGGCCCTGCACCACTCCCAGGGCACTGACCTTGGGCTGAAACCAAACGCAGGGCGTTAGCAGCACACACGGCCCCAGACCCAGGCACCCAAGGGCTCACACAACAGCAAGGAAAGGGCCTGAGCGTGGCCCAGGCACCGCTGCGCTGCTGGAGATGCGAGCAAAGCAGGACGGACATCTCCATCCGAGCCCAGCCAGCAGCACCAGAGATGGGACACGGGCAACGACACTGCGTGGAGCGCACTCCTG